CGAGGCACCTGCGGAAAAGATCTCCTTCTGGCTCTACTCTAAAGTTAAGGACCTGTGTGGAAAAAATGGGGGACACAGGAAATCAGAGTAAATGAGAGGAAGCTTTGCCCAGGCAGGAGATGATACTATCATCTGATCTAACACAGCACAGATGTAGTCAGGTTCCTGTAACAAATGTCATTTTGCCTTTGACTGATGCAGTCAAATGACGGGGGTGGGAAGGGGGCTTGCCATGTCCTATTCACTTTTGCATAACACACTGGGAAGAAACTGGTTTATTGCTTGTGATGCTGCTTTCTTCCTACTTCTTCTCCAGTGATGCGTGTAAGTGTGTACATACATTTAGATGTGCAAAACAGCAATGGATGGGGTGGAGTGGGATGTGTGTGTGGGGGGGGGGGGGAGATGCTTAAGATGGCTCCTTCAGCCTGCAGCTGGGAAGAGGTTGCCGAGGTGCAGTCCGGAACAACTGAGTCTTGCACAGTAATCTCAGGAAACCGGGAGGGTGTCAAAGTGATGAGTGGGTGGCCATCAGATTGCACTTGACACCTCCACAGCTGGGTCCATTGCTAGGTTACCCAAGGAGAAGTGCGCCTGCCCCACGTAGCCATCTGATACAGAGGCAAACACAGCGAGATTCTCCACGAACCGTCCATCAGTGCTCATTCCCACAAACTGCCCGGCATTTCTTTCCTCTCCTCTCCTTTCCTCTCCCACCCGCGTCCGCCCCCGACTTTCCTCCTTTCTATTTATGGGATGCTCTTCCTCCTTCCTTCTCCTCCGCAAGGCTCCTCTGAAAGCGAAGCGACGTGGGCTTCTCGTGCCCTCTGACACACTCGCAGCATCAAAGCCCCTGTCAGTTTCGGAGAGATGACTCTTTTCCGCGCAGCTCAAGGAGCGAGGCAGAGAGGCTGGGGGAGGGCGGCGGCGGCAGCAGCGCCTGCCTGAGCCTGTTTGCAAAGGCGATTAACACACGCGGCCCCATGTGTCGTCTCTCCCTCGACGCTTGGGGAAGGGGGTGGCGCGGAGAGGCAGGCAGGCAGGCAGGCAGGCGGGGAGGCTGCCTCTGGCAGCGGCGGGATGCGAGCAGCGATCGCCTCGCAGGAGCCCTTCGCCTGGGCGCACCTCGCCGCGGCTCCCCCGCTCAGCCCGCGTGCCCAGCCGCACAGCGCTGCCCTGCGCCGCCACAGCCCCAGGACCACCCGCGGCCACGTCCCCCTCTCCCACCCGGCCTCAGCCCGGCCCCGAGGCAGGAGGCAGACGTGCGAAATCAATGCAACGCGCTTCCACGGGAAGGGGGCGGGAGGAGCCGGGGAAGCTGCGCAGCCCGGGCGAGACGCGGAGCCTGCCGTAACCCGTTGACCCCGTCCCTCCATCCCTCGGCCTCCCTCTTCCCAGCCCTTAATCCCGCCCGCGGCCCCTTCCTCTAATCTCCCTCCAACATCCCCAAAATCCCTCTCTGCTTAATCCCAAGCATCCTCCTCCCGCGGCTCTCGCTGCCCTTGTGGCTGCTTCGGGGGATGGATGCGAGGCAGGCGGCGGGGTGGGGGGAGGCAGGGAGCGCTCGGTCCGGCCCCGGGGCGCTTACCATCAGGGAGCTGCTGCTGGGGCATCATGGTCACTCTCCGCGAGGGGCCCGAGGCGCGCCTTCCTCCGCCAGTCCAAGCCAGGTGTGCGACGGTGCCCCCTCTCGCCCCGGCCCTTGCCTTCGCCCCTGCCCTGCGCTGCCCGCTATCCGGCTGCCCCCATGGCGCTCGTGCTGACTAGCGAGAGCGAAGGGCTTGGGGTCGCTGTGACTACCACCGCCGCCGCCGCCGCCGGTGCTTCTCTGCCGCCGCCGCCGCCGCCGCCTTTTGCAAATCCCTTCGAGTTTGGGCCAACATGACACTCACATCCGGGTGACACAGGCGCTCTCCATCCCTAGCAACCCACCACCCGCTGCCATCGCCGCGGCTGCACCCTCTTTCCCCTCGTTGCTGCTGCTGCTGCCGCGCCGCCGCCGCCGCCGCCTGGCTGCCTCCCTCGCAGCCGTCGCCCGCCACGGGTTAACTCTCTCGCGCCTGCCGCCGCCGCCGCCACCTGCTGCTCAGGGCGGAGGAGGAGGAGGCGGAGGAGGCTCCCCGGCCAGGCGGGCGAAGCGAAGGAGAGCGGCTGAGCCGTGCAATAAGCAGCCTAGAGCGAGCTCCAGACCAGCTTCCACAAATAGAAGAAAGCGCGCCGAGTCCTTAACCCCTTCCCCTTCCTCCCGTCCTTGCACTTGGACGTCTCCAGCAGTTTCCAAGTCCGCCTGGACGCCCCGCCCTCCGACGTCTCTACCGTATTTAGTGCTCGAAAGGAGCGCGCGCAACTCTCCCCGGACCCCCGGGGGCAAGAGGCGCCCCGGAGCCTTTCCTTCGCGGGGGGGGGGGCGGGGGGCGCTCGCAACGGCAGCTAAACGAATCTTCTAGTTTAGGGACAGTCTACCTTGCCTGCCGAAGGCTTGGAATAAACAACGGAGGAGCTGTTAGGTTCCTTTCGCCCCAGTTGTGAACTTACAGTAGTAGTGCTGTGTGGTGGTTAGAGTGCTGGACTACCACTTGGGAGAACCAGGTTCTAGTCCCCACTCACGCATGAAGTTCCCTGGGTGGACCAGTCATAAACTCTTAGTTTACTTACTTCACAGGGGCGTTGGAGGGATAAAATGGAGAGGAAAACCTTGGAAGCACCCTTTAGATTTCCCTTTGTGAATGGAAAAAAAGTGGCTTGGAATTGTAGATTACATGCTGATAGTAAATAACCAACAATGTGATGTGGCTGCATTAATAGAAGTGTAGTTTCCAAATCATATGAGGTACAGGTTCCCTTCCCTTCTGCATTATTGTTTCCCATCTCTAGTATTGTGTTCAGTTCTAGGCACCACACTGGCCAGGATGTAAATAAGCTGGAGGGGATTCAGAGGGGAGTGGCAAGCATGATCAGGGACTAGCAACAAAACCTTATGAAGAGAGATTGAAAGAACTGGGCATTGGATATCCTGGAGAAAATTGGGCAGGAGATAATGCTTTTCAAGGACTTAAAAGTCTTTCACACAAAGGAGGGTCAGGAGCAATTCTCCATCATCCCTGAGTGCAGGACACAGAATAACAGGCTCAAGTAACAGGAAGGCCATTCCTGATGGACATCAGGAAAAACTTCTTGCCTGTTAGAGCAGTACAACAATGGAACCAATCACCAGAGGTCTCCCATGATGGAACTGGACAGCCATCTGCAAGGGATGGTTTAACTGGGAGTTCTGTGTTCAACAGAGACTGAATCTGGTGGTTTTCTTGGCCCCTTCCAATTCTACTATTCTATGATTCTAAGCAGGATATAAATGTAACAATATTGGCTGCAGCTACAGCTGCTGTATAACACTAAAGCAAAAGACTCGTTTGGCCTTATATGTGATGGCCCTTTTTTTACAGACTATTTTAACACGCAAACACATAGTAAGGGGGAAACCCTGCTTAGAGTGTCTTGTGTACAATTTGCACTCACATCATGTGGGCTGGAATGCAGAAAAGCAGTCGAACATACAAGCTCATGGAAGATGCTTTTACATTTGTATTAGGTCATCTGAAGCCATGTGTCAAACTGCTTCAGCCAGGAACCAAGAGGAATATTCCTTGGGAGGCTGGGAGACACAGATAATGGGCAGAATGCTTTTCCTTCTCCACCAGCACATGGCACCAATCCAGCTCTCTACATCTGGAATCACAGCACATCCATGGTCAGAGTTTATGAATTTATTGGCACAATTAAACAACCCCACCTCCCCTGGTGCCTCTAACTTTAAAAATAAAGTACTGTGGGGGAAGCTTGCTATGGCTGCTCATTAGTATTGCACATATTCTTTGTTATTACACTAGCTAAGAGCCCATCAGTTTGACAGGCAGGGAATTTGACAAGGGTGGGGAGTAGGTGGGTGAGTAGGAAGGCTCCATATCCTTCCTCCTCCCTTTTCCTGCACTGCTCTTTTTCACTGCTTTCTGGCTTCTCCTCCTTCCTCTATCGCCCACTCTTGGCTGGATAGGCTGGTAGTGAGACCAGTGTTCCTGTTCATAGGGATGCTTGAGTCTCCAATAGGTTGCCCTCCAGACAACTTCCCTCAGCCTGTGCTAGCATAGCCAATGAGGAAGAATGAGAGAAGCTACAGATCAGCTACACCTGAATGGTCCCAAGTTGCCCACCCTTGGGCTAGACCAGGGGTGAGCAGAAAATAGGTCTGCAGGTGTTGTGGACTTCTAGCTTTCATGAACATTGCCCATGCCTGCAGAAGCTTCTGGGAGTTGAAATCCAAAACATCCGGAGAGCTACCTTCTGTCCACCCCAGGTCCATGCAATGTATCTTGTAGGGGTTTGCTAGACCTTGTTGCTGCTGTGGCTAGTTTTTCACTGCCACTTTGGAAAGCAGATCTGAAACCATTTCTCTTGCATATTCTAGAATGGCCTTAGCGGCACTGCTGATGAACAACAACTGGGAGAGGGCAGGGCCTTTTCTTTCCCTTGACATCAATTTGAAGGCAATGCGTCTCTATGTGCAAAACACAGAAAAAGTCATTAAAGTGGTTTCTGTTTCTATAGCCTCTTCTATATGTATTAATTACATGTTCAGTAGCTTAGAACTGCCAATGAAAATGACATAAGCTAATGAAAGCTTATATGGACCTTTCATCCATCACTTTCCAAGCTGTGTGTAATCAGAACCATGTCTACACTACCACCTACATCCTGCTTTAATCCTATATTAGTTCCAAGCCACTAGCCATTATCAGGTTGCAACTTGTGCAGTGTAGGGCCACAAGGATGGTGGCCAGATTGCAGGGAAAGCCATATGAGGGAGCTGGGTCTTTTCAGCCTGGAAAAGAGGAGGCTCCAAGGGGATCAGTTGGTGACATATAGGTATATGAGGGGGTGTCACATAGATGTGAGTGGAGACCTATTTTCCCCTGCAAAGGAGAGCAGGATGCGTTCCAACGGAGCAAAGCTCAGGCAACCAAGGTCCCTTTAGACGCCAGGAAGCACTACCTGACAGTCAGCACCCCGAGGGTGTGGAATGGGCTTCCCCGGGAGGTGGTTGAGGCCCCATCAGTGAGGGTGTTCAAGGATAGGCTGGACGTCCACATGGTGGGCATGTTGTGAGTGGAGCCGGCCAGAGCCGGGGGTTAAACTAGATGGCCTGGGAGGCCCCCTCTGGCTCACTCTGTTTCTATTACTAAACCATGAACCCTTTCTTCCTTTCTATATTTAAGGTAGAATGCCAGTTTTATCTAGACGAATATACCTAACAAATAATAATGAATCACAATAGTTTAGATTCTAAGTTCTTCTACTGCTCATGTATTGGGAGGGGTGATTTCTACCAATTATCCTCTTTACTTGTCCTGCAGGATAACCTACACCATTCCCATGAGTACTCCCTGGCAACAGCAGGAGCAGATGGGGGTCTGCAAGAGGGAAGGACTTTTCATCCATAAAAGAAAAATTAGAATTCAAGCCAATGTTTCTAAGGCTTCGTTAGAACACTGATTACATTTTCTTTTTGCAGCTCAAAAATATATAGTTTGGTAAATATAACCAGGAATGGAACACAATCTATTTTTGTTTGTTTGATATTGTTTAATTATTTTAAATATTTTCAGTCATAATTTAGTAGCTTAATTCATCATGTTAAAACTACATATGAAACCCTTTAATTAAATTATCTTGGCAAATATACTGTACATTAATTAATAGTCATTCATCCTACAAAAAAGAAAACTTTCATCTGCTTTAGCAGACTGTGGCATCCAATTATTTTGCTAAAATTGTTTTACTTTTATTACCTTAATGGAATACAATGCTAAGTAATTTATTTTCTATTATACACACAATGCCAGATTGATACTTGTTTATATTTACTGGCAAATGTAGTGGATAATGAGATTTTGGGAAGAATGATATAGCTTACAATGGAAGAAAATGAGCATACTAGTCTGCTATAATATATATGTAGCATCACATCATATTAAACAATTTGTTCCTGTTCCCACTTGGATATTAGTTAAATGGCAGGTAAATAGCATATCTGCTAATCAGTCCCTCCCCCACACAAATCTTCCTCCTTCTTCAGTAATGTAAATGATAATTAGGTTTAGCAGAGCATCCAGGGCAGGGATGCGTGAGCATCCCACGGCTCAGTGCAAAAGCAGTGGGGTTCTTGCAAGCATGCAGTTTACATACTGACAAAAGTCTCCAAGGCACTTACAAAGTGCTCACATCTGCTCCCTTCTCTGCTGCCACCTTCCCCTTCTCCGATTCCCAACAACTTATTTTGGGAGCATGAAATAGAAAGTGGATGATGGGCATCCAGGGCATCTTTTCTCATCTGGGTCTGGAACTACCAGTCCCAGAATCCCTAGTGAGAAAATGACCCTGCATATATCATTTCCTCCGGGAAGAAGTCCCTCTGAGGTCCCAGGCACTGATGTGAAAAGAGCTGGGGGTTTGGAGTTGTCTGTCTCCATCCAGTACAGTGGTAGCTCGGCTCACGAATTCCTTGGTTCACGAACAAATCGGGTCACGAACAAAAATTTCTGAAAAATTTTGATGTGGGTCACAAACTCTGCATTGGGTGGCGACCAAGATCTCAGCCATCTCCCCCGCACCCCCGAGTGGAGAGGTGGCCACAATCGCAGTTGCTTTCATGCAGGGAAGGCGTGCGTGATCAGAGGTGCGCTCCTGCAGGAAAGACAGACGCAATCTTGGCCATCCACCCCAACCAGCACGATCGCGGCCATCTCCCCACCCCACCCCCTAGTGGGGAGATGGCCATGATCATGCTGAAGGTAGGGGAGAGGTGGCCAAGATAGCACCCATCTCTCCCTCCCCCAGCGCGCCATTTGCACCTGTCTTTTCTTCCCCCAGTGCGCCCGCGATCACGCCCGTCTCTCCCCCCCCCCCACCCACCAGCACACTGGGATGACAGGTGGCTGCAGGGATGACAGGCGAGTGCAGGGATAACAGGCACAATCTTGATCGTGCTGGGGGAGCGGGGAGATGGCCACACTTATTTATTTATTTATTTATTTATTTATTTATTTAAAGCATTTCTATGCTGCCCCCATCGCAACAAAGCCTCAGGACGGCTCTCAAAGAATACATAAATACATACATAAATAATGATAATATAACAATTTAAAAAATCGTTTAAAAACCCCCGGTGCATTCTCGGCTAAAAATTTTAAAATCCTAATTAATTCAATAATTTAGCAATTAAAATAAGTTTTAAATAAAAAGGTCTTAGCCTGGCACCGAAAAACAAATAACGACGGCGCCAGGTGGAACTCTCTGGGGAGCGCATTCCATAGATGGGGCGCCACCGCAGAGAAAGCCCTCCTCCGGGTACTCACCCTCCTAATCTCATTCTCAGAGGGTTCCCGGAGAAGGGCATCTGTTGCTGATCTCAAGGGGCAGGAGGGCATATATGGGCGCAAGCGTTTCTTTAGATATCCAGGTCCCAAGCCGTTTAGGGCTTTATAGGTCATAACCAACACCTTGAATTGGGCCCGGACTTCAATTGGGAGCCAGTGGAGCTGACGGAGAACTGGGGTTATATGAGAACATCGCCCAGTCCCAGTCAGCAGCCTGGCAGCTCTATTCTGCACCAATTGAAGTATCCGGACCGTCTTCAAGGGTAGCTCCACGTAGAGCGTGTTACAGAAATCTAATCGGGAAGTTACCAGCACGTGTGTCACTGTCAGGCTTCTGCTCAGGGTGTGCTCGGGGTGTGTGTGTGGCGGGGGGGGGGGGAGATGGCCTTGATCTTTGTTGTTGTCACTTTGCTTCACATTTTTCTGATTTAAAAAATGGTTACAGAATGGATTGACCTTATTTACATTGAACCTTATGGGGAAATTTAACTTGGCTAACAACCAATTTGGGTCACAACCAGAGTCCTGGAACGGATTAAGTTCATGAGCCAAGGTACCACTGTATCTCCTTCTCCTGCCCCAAAGTTCTCAGAAGCTGCTGAATCAGTGGGAAACTGCCTCATGTAGTAAACCATTGCATGGGTAATGGAGTACTCGGGAGTAGCTACGCTCTGAAGGACTACACCTGTCCAGGTGATCTCCAAAGAGCCACACTGGCTATCTGATTGTACAGCTCATTGATAAGTGTAAGAAAAGGGGTGAGGGCTGTAGTGCCAGTGGGAAGGGCCTGGATGCCTGGGTGCATCTCCTTCCATATGTGCCTGCATGCCCCTTAAGATCTGGGGCAGAGGCCCTTCTCCGGGTACCCTCCCTGAAGGAGATTAGGAGGGTGACTACCCGGAGAAGGGCCTTCTCTGCAGTGGGACCCCAATTGTGGAATTTACTCTGCAGAGAGGTTTGCCTGGCACCATCACTTTATTCTTTTTAGTACCAGGCTAAAACCATTTTTATTTTCCCAATGTTTTAAGGTCTGATTGTTTTAATTGGGGTTTTATTGTCGGTTGGAATTTTAGGACACCGTGTTTTATTTTACATTGATTTATTGTTAAACCGTCCTGAGACCTCAATAAGGGATGGTCTAGAAAAGTTTTAAATAAATACATACATACATACATACATACATACATACATACATACATAAGAGGCATGGCACAGCAGCAGTAAGGGGAAAGAAATGCAGGACACGGCACTGTGGCAAGGAAAAGGGAGCGTTTGCCACAGGAAGGGGTGGGGGCATGATGTGGGAAGGGGTGTGATGCCACATGAGGCAAAGAGGCGCACTAAAGGGAAGGGGTGGAGGACAACAGGACAGGACAGCTGAGGAGCATCATGCAGTGAAGGGCAAGGGGTCAGGAGGTTGTGTTGCCTGCGGGGAAAAAGAGCTTGCACGAGGTTGCTGCTCTGACTGTCCAGAGTAGGCTGGAAGCACAGCTGTATTTGCCGTGAACTTGCATGCACCTTTACAAATGCCTCTGCTCATTTGTAAAGTTGCAAGCAAGTTCACAGCAAATGCAACTTTTTGTGGACTGCACTACCATCTAGCTTTCTGTGTGTGGGGACCCCCCCCCCCCAAGAGTTCAGTGTGGGCAGCCTGACAGTGAATGAGAATTGCAGCTGGGGGCACAGGCTGCTACCTTCAGCAGAGGCAGCTCTCCACTCAGCAACTCTGCCGGGGTACATGGTACGTGTTGCCTGCAGCACTTCCATCTCCCCGCCCCACGCCCCCAACTGAAATTCTCTGTGGCCACACAAGTGCACAGTGGTTTTGCATTGCAAACCGCCTCTTCAGCTCTATGACTAGCAGCAACCTGATAATCCTTTGTGGCCGTGACTTGTGGCTGCTGCTTTTTTTGAGACTCATTGGAATGCTGTCATATACTCTGGTCTTTCCGGTACTTTATGGGACACTCTCAGTTTTTATATGCTCAAGCAGGCACCAAAAATGGGGGTCATACTAAAGTTTTGTGCAGCTGTACATTAGCTGCCGCCACCTGGTGCTCTTTGGATGTGCTGGACCACAACTCCCATCCTTCGCAGCCAGCATGGGCATTAGTAGGCTATGTTTGGGTTGGTGGGTCTCAATTTGGTTTGGTGGCCTTGCTTTCTTTAGGTCTGATTGACTGTAACAAAGCTCAAAGAAACTGTCCCCACTGGAAAGAACGAACATAGCTGTTAACCCTAACCCCTGCACATTCAGTACCTTTATTTTTCTGTTCTGCTTTTGCACCAAGGAAGTAAGACTAGTGTTTTAGCCTCCCCACCATCCTGTGAAGTAGGTTAGGCCGACATTAGTGATGCACCCAGGGCTGTCCAGTGAGCTTCATTAATGAGAATTTGCACCTTGTGAGAATTCTCACATCTGAGCTCAAGATACAGCTGCAGCACTGTGCTAGAAGTTGGCCCTGTAGCAAGCTGAATGTGGGGAAGACCAGACTATTCAACAGTTCATAACAGAATATCAGACGCACAAGCTACGCAGTGACAGCAGATTCACTGGAAACTAAGCAGGAACTGCATGTTTTAAACCTGGAACCAAAACGCAACAAAAACACCTCACAACAATTCCTTTTTCTGAAGTCAAAGTATTATACTATTGGAACAAGGCTGATTTAGAGGAACAAAAATATATACATAAGGCTTAAGGCTGATTTGAGCGATATATATCTTCCAGTGTA